TTTTTTTTTACCTTATTGCTTAAACATATCTTTAAAAAAAAATTATTGAGTAGAATAATGAATTTTTTATGATTTTTTTTTATTTCTTTCTTAATAGCATGTAATCTTGAACGTTATTGTGCATTCACAAATATTTACATACGTTCAAATGACTAGGTACTTATACATACACATGTATTAGGGTGGTCCTTAAAATATCAACATCTAAATGTTGTATAGTGTACCCCCTTATTTTTCTCTTTGTACAAAATAAAGACTCCCACCAGCGTTAGAATAAATTAATAAAGTTTTTTAAAATCGCACAAATTCCACAAAATTTTGACTTTAAGTCCGATAAATTAGACATAGACCTAGGTACGTTCGTTTAAATTATCCTGTAAAAAATATACAGCCTCAAAACTCCGACGAAATGTCATCTGCCATCTCGCAACAGAAAATTTTCGGAAACTTTCAAGCTAGACGAACAGCTGTTAGAATTTTTTGTAAAATTGAAAACGTAAGAAAACTGTCCAAAAGTGTTATCTTGACATAGTTTACTGATGGAACGAATAACTACTTACTTCTTGCAAGCTTAATTTGGCTTATTTTATCAACTTCCAAACCAGCAAAAACGATTTTGTGATTTTTGTAAATTCCAACCAGCTATTGTCTTGCTGGCAAACATTTTTCCAGCTGACTCTGGCAACTTCAGCTGAAAATGAAATGCCACTTTGGTCTCCCGATTTCCCTTAATTTGCTAATTTTTTGCTCACGCGAACGTGAGCTGATGGTTTTGATATTTACCAATAATTGAATTTAATATTTTTTTAATATATATGTAGTATATAATATCTCGGAAACTAATTGGCCGATTAAAAAATTATTGATGCCAATGCAAAGGTAATTTAAACACCGTTTTTATATACTATAACCATTTTTAAAACAAATTTTTTTACCAATACTTTCGTTAAATTTTGCCTTATAAAAAACTGTTCTTTCATTTTCTAAATAATACAAATTTCTGTAGCATTAATTATGCAATTTTCTTCAAAGAAGGTATTTTTGGCTTAAAAGTATAAAAAAGTAAATAAATTATGTACATTAGCTGTTTAGTCCATTATGTAGTTCATAAGATATTAAAATTTTTATATTTTTTACTTGCGCCAAATAATTTTGGTAAGATTGAAATCAGCATGAGGAGTTCTAAAGAGTTACATTTTTGGGCTGTCCACAACTAAACAGTCTGTATTTCCGACTTATTTAACAAAAATTTAACTTCACATTTAGCATCAGTAATGAAAACGGAATGTCAATCACCTGACATTAAAATTTGACGACCGTTTTTGACATGCACTGCGATATCGACATTTGGTCAGTTTTTATGATGTAGTGAAAAGGCATTTGACACTACACGAATAGCAGTCAGACGAAGGCAGTTTTTGATGTCAGTGATTTTGACCTAATGAAAACCAATCAAAAGTTGGTCAAAGTCAAAATTTTTTCGAAATTTTGCTATTTATTTTATTTTGAAATTTCGCTGATGTTTTTACTTTGTACGTAGGACAAAATAAAGACGTGCGCCATGATGTTGATTTTTTTAAGAACTACCCTAAAATGTAGTATGTATGATTTAGAAACATGTATGGTGTGACATAAAGAGTTTCACATATGTATAGGATATTTATATGTATGTATTCATAATATTGGTACTGTTCTTTGCATAAATTCTTATCGTTTTTTTTTTGTGAATGTTTCATCAGTTAATTTACAAACCTTTTGTGGGATTTTGTTACATATTTCATTTTCGCTTTGTTTATCCTGTTTATTTCCAAAGTCTAAACAATCAGCTATTTGAGCATACATATATTTGATCATTGCAAAAATATGTGCCTGTATGTATGTATGTAGGGTATGTATGTAAGTGATGCATTTAATAAGTGTTCTTTTGCTACTACATACATACATATCTTTAGCTTTTGTTAACAAGTATTTCTTCACTAAAAACTACAATCTTATATGGTTTGTGATTTATTTCATTTATATGTATGTATGAACCACAAAGCGCTGTGGAAAAAAGTTCTTTCTTAACAGCGATCGCCTCTCGGCAGGCAATGGCAAACCTCCGAGTGTATTTCTGCCATGAAAAACAGGTTCTCAAAAAAATACAATCGCCGATCGGCGTACATAGGTCCCTCCGCTTTCTGTGACAACACCAAGGCGCATGCCACAAATCGCAGGAGAAGCTTGGCCAAACACTACACATACATATGTATAAGCGCCAATCAATTATTATTATAATTAAAATTATTATGAACTACAAACCGTGTCAAAATTATATGACACCAAATATTGACAAGTTTTAAAATCAATTTTTTTTTATTATTTAGTTTTAGCTATTTTTTTTATAAAAATGCAAAGTATTCTTTAACAAAAATCCTATCAAAGTCAATAAACTTTGTTAAAACTTTTAAGCTTTTTGATTCGGTTTCTAAGAAAGACTTTGGGTATGCAGTTTTATATAATAAAATGGAAGGGTCGAAGTATTTTTAGCTGGAATTTACCGTTGATTTCTTTGTGTTTTTTGCTGACGGTGATAGTGTATTTTCTTCTATACAAGTATGTCGACGATTTTTTTTTTTATGTGGAAGAAAATAATCTACACCATCAACAAAAAAATTGCCGATAATTAACGGTAAGTCTTAGCTACTTCAAACTTGTACTTTATTATACATATGCAATTATATCTCGAAGCAGCCTTAACTGATATACTTTTATTTTGAGGTATTCGAGGTCAGTAAAAAACATATATAAGCTAAATTTACGTAAAAAAGGTTTTAAAAAGTTAGCAGGTAGCTAAAAGTGAAACAGAGTCTAAAATCTAAGTACCGTAATTAGTTTTTAATTTTTTCGCTCAAAACTTTGGTGCTCGATGCATACCAATTTAACTTTGCTCCATACACACCGCGATACGGATGCTGCAATTCTTCCTTGATTTCAAATCCGTTTCTTTAAAAAAAAAACCTTCTCGTCTGCTTCAGTATAACAGAGCTATTGGAAGGTCTTCTAATATAGCTTCCAAAAGTTAAGGTAGATATTACCTAAAAAGCCCTGTCTAAATGTGTTGATCAATAAGAGCTCCTCATTTTGCCGTCTGACTTTATGACAGACATGATTGCCTATGTTTACTGTAAGAAAAATAATGTTTCATCTTTTGGCGGCTCGAATTTCCAAGATTAGTACCATTGTCAAACATTTCCAGGTAGAAATAAATGATAAGGCTAATTGGAAAGTACACCGCATAATTTTTCAACATTTCTATAAAATCGATTTTTTTTTCTCAAAGTACTACTGAAAATCACTTATAGAAAAGGTAGCATTAAAAAAACCACGAAGCTGGACCTAAAATTCCGGCACTAGAGCAAAAAATATAATTACTACATCTAGCTCAAAAAGGCTAACCTGGTCGCACTGTTCGCGACTTTGACTTTGGAATGATTGCCAGCTCAAATAATATGGTAGTTTCGCAAGAAACTTTTCATAAATAAAAGTAATCAGCAGTGTCGCAAGGTGTCAAAATTTTGCAATAAATGCGACATTTGCTACATGTTTGCAACATTCTCACGAATCGCACTACTAAAATTGAATGGGCTGCAAAACTCTGTACCCAAGATTGTTCTAAGAAATCTAATTACAATTTTCTAAAGTTGATTGAATTTATTTTTACACATTGCACAAAGTTTGAAACGATCGTTAAAGAATAAACTATATTTTTATAAAAAAAAAAATCTCTAAAATTAAATGTGAATGAAATGAATTGTTAAAACTTGTCAATTTGTGATGCGCTTAGAATTTCGACATGGGCAGTTGGATATTTTCGTTAGTGTTCGCTTAAATGAGCATTCATTTCTTAAGTTGAAGCCAAGCATTTTACATTTTTTTTTTTTGTTTTTGCATACACATAAATTATGCACAGCAATTTACTTTTTAAATGCGACATAAAATTCACTTAAAAATCGCACGCAATTACAATTACAAACTTTTGCACTTATGTACCTACATATCTATTTTATTTATTATTTATTTAATTAATTTTTTTATAAAATATTTTATAAAACGCTCTAAATCATAGGTAAAATGAGCTATTGGGAACAGTACGTAGTTACCGGGGTTGAGACTATTTCTGTATTCAAGCATCCGGATAACCGTTCAGATATTCGTGATTATGGATAAAAACCGGTTATCCGGTTAACGGTTAATACCGCTAATTTTGCCATCCACAGATATTTGGTTAATATCTTTTCATTTTGTTTGGATATTTTAATCAGATATTCGATTATCCGGATATTCAAAAAATGCGGATAGAAGTTCCAGCCCTAGTAATTACCTATGTATGTACATATTTATGTAGGTATATTTTTCGCGCGTAATGTCTCATAGAGAAATCAAGCTTCGAAAATAACAAACTACTACTTTTCTTAATCAACTCTACTTTTAACTAAATATTTACTTTGCGTCATTGTGACGGCAATTTTACAGTTTTTTCCAACCATTTCTACGCGCCATCGAAATTGTTATATAAATGTACATATTTTTAATTTCTTTGCTTCATCAGATGTGTATATTTGTCTACATATGTATGTATTTAAGTGTATATATGTTTGCTATCGGTGTATTCGGTTCATGTTTTAGTTTTCGGTTAAAGTTTTTAACGTTTTTTTTTACAGCGCATTTCAAAATTCACCCGCAAAATGCCAAATTTTATGATCTTATGTAAGAGCCTAGTCGACAAACAATTGCCGAACGCAATCGCTCATATTTTGATATCCTACTAAACTGCTGATGATATACATATGTATGTATGCATTTGCCGTTCATACTATTTAATAGGTGGGCTGTTGATATTCCATGCCTTGCTGATCCATACCTATCCGAAAAGAGAAAAAATCGTTATACCGTTGTGTTTTATTTAAAGAAAATCATTGATCCATACCTAGTTGTTGTTGTTGGCCACTAAACGGTGACGTACTATACTGATCGTTGTCATTATCCATGGAGTAGCTGGTGTATGCCTGCTGATGCACCACGTTCGCTGGATCTGTTTCAAAGGCTGATGTGAACTCATCACCGGCACCGATGAGGAAACGTTTGTAGGCGAGGAAGGCGCAAAGAGCCTGTGGGCATGTTGAAATATGGAAATAAAGAGAATAAAAGAAATGCTGCGTGCAACTAAATATTTGAACAGTGGTGCCTGGAAAAATTGCTGCAGCACTTTAGGTTTATGATCTTCCCCAAAAGTAAAGATAGATATCTGAGTCTTAGCCTCACAAAAGCAATAAACCTTCACTTCATCGAAGTGCAGAGCGTTTACACAGAATCTGCAGGCAATGGTGAAGTGATCCTACTTGGTATTCCCGTAAGAAGTTATTGTATGCTCATCTTTGAATGTTTTAGCAACAAAATGTTGACTACAACGAGCCAGAGTAAGAGTACGTACTCATCGGAGTCAGCTTCGGCCAGCGCGGCCAGCATGATGGCCACCTCAATAGCAGGCGCTGCTGCTACGGCAAGCGCTGGAGTGCCCGCAGCCTCCTGNGGTGATCCTACTTGGTATTCCCGTAAGAAGTTATTGTATGCTCATCTTTGAATGTTTAGCAACAAAATGTTGACTAAAACGAGCCAGAGTAAGAGTACGTACTCATCGGAGTCAGCTTCGGCCAGCGCGGCCAGCATGATGGCCACCTCAATAGCAGGCGCTGCTGCTACGGCAAGCGCTGGAGTGCCCGCAGCCTCCTGCTCATATGCTTTAGCCAGCGTGGTAGAAGGTACCATTGATGCTGCAGGTGTCCCCTCGACGCAATTGCAATCCACCACCAATCAATGTTCCTGGCAGTATAATGGTACCACATCGGTACTCTGCAACCTGCGCACTATCGAATTACATGTAGCGCTCGATTTGAAAGGTGCTGACGTTGGAACTGTATCCGGACTCTTTGAATAGCTTAAAGCAGCTGGCCGAGCTGCCTATAGCAGAAACCAAATGAGTAAAATTCTCNAAATGTTCCTGGCAGTATAATGGTACCACATCGGTACGCTGCAACCTGCGCACTATCGAATGACATATAGCGCTCGATTTGAAAGGTGCTGACGTTGGAACTGTATCCGGACTCTTTGAATAGCTTGAAGCAGCTGGCCGAGCTGCCTATAGCAGAAACCAAATGAGTAAAATTCTCAAAGCTTACACAAATTTCGCAAATATTAATAAAGTTTCAAAAAAATTCCATCAAAATTTACATCTTTTATCCAGAATTTTAATAAAATTTTAGTGCAATAAAGTGGAAGTTTCAAGTCGCTAAAAATTACCGGTGTATTTTTTTATTTTTATTTTTTTTTTTTGCCGAAGGTGTAGAGCATTTTCTTCCATATAACGCACCAACACAATACATTTTTATGTAGAGGCAAATGCTCAACGCCCTCGGCAAAATAAAAATTCTAGTAAATCAACGGTAATATTTAGGGACTTGAAACTTACCCTTATTTATTTTTATTGGGTCCTCGACGTTCCTTTATATTAAAGCCAGGAATCCAGAAAACTTGCGAAAAATGTTGCTTTGTTGAAAACCTAGCTATTTTGTGGCGCTTCAAGAACAGAGCTAGTTCAATTTAGGCGGACTATTACTCCCTATATAATCAAATGACCTGCGTATTGAAAAATTTTAGTAGCTTTAAAGGTATGGTGAAGCAGAAATTTGTTCAGCAAGAGGTTCCATAGCAGATAGCTTTTTCTTAAGGAACCATTGTTATTAGTAATCAATGTGTTCTTGGTAGCTAACTCAAAAGTGCCAAACGACTACCCTAGCGTACTCTTTAGTTTTGGCCCAGTTCTTGACTCCCAACAACATCTCAATCGATAAGCGGTTGTAGTAAGCATTGATACAATTCTCGAGAATAAAGAAGCGCTTGATTTTAAGCTCAGTGAAGCTCTGCATACCCTTAAATAGAAACAATAAGATAGAGAGAGAGAGATGAGTGAAAAATTGCTCACGATGTTGCACCAATTTGTTTGCTGTTTTAGGTCTGGTCACCAGTTTTCNGTGTAGAGCACTTTCTTCCATATAACGCACCAACACAATACATTTTTATGTAGAGGCAAATGCTCAACGCCCTCGGCAAAATAAAAATTCTAGTAAATCAACGGTAATATTTAGGGACTTGAAACTTACCCTTATTTATTTTTATTGGGTCCTCGACGTTCCTTTATATTAAAGCCAGGAATCCAGAAAACTTGCGAAAAATGTTGCTTTGTTGAAAACCTAGCTATTTTGTGGCGCTTCAAGAACAGAGCTAGTTCAATTTAGGCGGACTATTACTCCCTATATAATCAAATGACCTGCGTATTGAAAAATTTTAGTAGCTTTAAAGGTATGGTGAAGCAGAAATTTGTTCAGCAAGAGGTTCCATAGCAGATAGCTTTTTCTTAAGGAACCATTGTTATTAGTAATCAATGTGTTCTTGGTAGCTAACTCAAAAGTGCCAAACGACTACCCTAGCGTACTCTTTAGTTTTGGCCCAGTTCTTGACTCCCAACAACATCTCAATCGATAAGCGGTTGTAGTAAGCATTGATACAATTCTCGAGAATAAAGAAGCGCTTGATTTTAAGCTCAGTGAAGCT